CAAAGACAAATGATTGGCATGTAAGCCATCCATCTCGATTGATAAGCTCCCTCTGGATCCTGCGACGTGGACATGGACTATACCAATGGGAAAGAAACGGCTATGTTCACGAGCTCTTCATACCTTATCAGTCAAGTCTACCTATCGGATGCTGAGACCTTCGCTACACCTGAGGGATGAAGTAAAATATCGTTGGATCAAACATTTGAACATCAACAAAGATTCCCTACGTTCAATTAAATGGTTCAGGACTATTAAATGCAAACCAACCAAGGTCGCCCCCCTACAATGGCAAATCGATCACATGTGTCTTCCAACAAATGATTGGCTCATTGAAAGATTCTTCTTAGAGCAGAGGGGATTAGCCCGACCCTGGTGTAAACTCTATGCTTCAGTATTCCCTTCTCGGAAAATACCGAAAACCATAGAACATATGTTTCTTCCATGTCCAGGGGCGGTATGGCTGTGGAGATGGTGGGATAGAATCTGAAGACAAATAATTACCTCCCAACAATGGTCGTGAGATTGGAAAACCTTCTTTATGCGAAACATGGAACCCTCCTCAGACGAACGACATCACTATCAATCTCTTTAAGACAGGAAGGAGGGTCATTCTCTGGCCTCTCTGGCTCCGCCGATGCACATATGAAATGGAACATGCAAGGATTGACGATTCGAAATTCACAAACTCAATAAAGCATCAAATCCAAAATGTTATGAATACTCAATGGGACAACGTCAAAGAGAAGATCAAACAATGACAAACCAAATCATAAATTCTGCAGCACATAAAAAGATTCAGCGATGACTCACTGGGGGGAACCCAAGGAAGGGGCTTGGGAGAAATTAAATGGATGGGGGCAAGGGGAGAGAGTCAGGCAAATCAGGAAGAAGGATCATAAGATTTTACAAGAGACTACCGATTGATCTTTCATGATTGGACTACTGTGGACCCCTCTATCCCCTTGCATCCCTTATGTGAATTCCCAGACCCTTTCCTCCATCATCCTTGAGTGTGGTTCCCTTGGGTTGGTATGGCTTGGACTGAGTGTTTCAAGTACAAGATCTGAAACCTTTCTTCCCAACTTTTTTAAGAGAATTGGTACTAGAGGATAGAGGTAGGATCCGGCGCCCAAGAAGGGTGCAAAGGTGCTGGTTCAATCTTTCTTGCTCTTTTCATTATCTGTTTTTCAAAATTTTGTCATTATGTGAGGGATACTAGACCCGTTTTCCAGCAGGTGCAGCTCCCCACCAATAGATGGAGCTTCTTCTTAAAATAAAATAAAATAAAATAAAATAAAAAGGTTGTTAAACCACCAGTACTTCCTAGAGTCGTGCCTGTTAACACGCCACGGTTTTAGAAAACGCACGGGCTACTACAGGAGCGCCCAAATTCATCCGACTAGAAACGTTTCTACTCTTTTTTTTTTCGCGGCTAATAGTTGGGCCATATACTAGTGGTTTAAGCCAACTACCCATGAAAGTACCTCTAGGGGGCAAATGGGAAGAACCAATGCATTTCTTATGTGTGACTAGACTAAGAATGGCTACTTACGAATCCACAAATCATGTAGGTAATTGAGATCAATGCAGAGCCCGCCAACCGGAACCTAACTTCTGGTGCCACTCAACAGCCCAAACCTCAGCTTGTCCGCTAGGCTACAGGGCGGAGCGACCCACCCCAGCACCGGCCACCGTCGTCTTGATAACGGCCCACAAATGGCCACTGGAATGCCTTCCACCCTCCAGTGATTCCAATCTATTATTCATGGCGAGCAACACTTGCTCTGCTGCAGGGGATCTAGTATCAATAATACTCCTTCAACTGTTATTGCCTTGGTCTCCCAAACCACTTTGTTAAAGTTCATGCTCCTCAGTCGCCAGCGACCTCGGTAGATATCTAGCCATCATGCGTCTTGTCCAAGACTACACCTGTTCACCCAGAAGTTCATTTGCCATCACAAACCAAATCATGGCAAAGGCTGCACCAGCAAGCTCCAAAGCTCGACCGAAAAAGGATAAAAGGTGACCCCTTTCTCAGCTCGCCATCGTCAAGAGCATGATTCTCTCAAGGATATTATCTTGGGTGACTCGCCAATTCGAGAGCAAAATGTGGTTGTTGATATCCTAAGATTCCTGACTAAAGTCTCAATACATTCTTGGTCTTTCTTATTTTCAAAACCTGAAATTTCTTGTCTAACTAACACAAATGGTATTTTTGTATACCTTAAACTCCCTGTGAAAAATTCTGGATGATTTAATTCCTAAATTCCTTCCCTATCTGTCAGCTTTTTTTCACGAGGATTTTTTTCCATAGACTCCCAGTGATTGTATAAGAAATTTGGTAATTCTCTGGTGTTCATTGTTTGCATAAAAATTAAAATTCAGATTCCCTCCAGTGTTCAAGTTTTGAGTATCTTTTGGTAAGATGGTAATATAGAAAGGGGAGAGCTCCATTCTGCAGGGGCGACGCAAGGTGGGAGGTGAAGCCCTGGAAGGGGTGCGAGCACTTAGTGGGTTGTCCTATTCTGGGGTTGGCGTGGTGGTACACATCCCAGCTGGGGCAGATTAGGGTAAAACGCGTGCCGAGGCATACTTTGGGAGGGAACTGTATGCCTTTTGAGGGATAAGAAGGGGGAAGGTGGGATTGTCCCAACTTGGGGCCGAGATGGGATGCCTGCAATCTGGATAATCCGTTTCGGTAGAGGTAGCATTGGGACAAGGTGGGAAGGAGGGGAGGGGGGAGTTTAATCTAGAGAACAGGTGCTTGAGAATTCCTTAGTTTTCAATCATGTTATATTAAGCTTTCTGGTGTTCTGAAAATTTTTGGCAGCATCTGGCCTTCTTCCTCGTTCGGGATATAGGATTTCAGAGATGGTTGAACCTGGACTGATATCTGCAAAGTTGATCTGTTCTGTACCCATGGTTTGCCGATGCCAGAGCGACGCTGGCCGGAGCTGGGGCGTTGCCCTGTGACCTGCAATGGCAGGAGTGTGAGGCCTTGTAGAGAGACCCAGAGTTTGCTGAGGGAGGAAAGCAATCTAGTGGCAAACCGGGGGGGGCTGCCTTGACAACCCATGGGGCCGAGGATAGTCTACGTGGCGAGAAGAGGTCAGCTATGGTTGACGTTGATTAGGTTGGTATTGTCTCTGAGATGCAATGTCCTGGTACAGGGAGGGCCAGAAGTTGTTCTAGGTTTAGGAGGCCAGAATTGCTGACATAGTATATTTTTATATATACTAATCATCATCATCTTAAAAAAAAAGAATTCCATAGTTTTCAATCATGTTATATTAAGCTTCTGGTGTTCTGAATTTTTTGGCAGCATCTGGCTTTCTTCCTCATTCGGGATATAGGAGTTCAGAGATGGTCGAACCTGGACTGATATCTGCAGAGTTGTTCTGTTTTGTGCCCTGGTTTGCCGATGCCAGAATGACGCTGGCCGGAGCTGGGGCGTTGCCCTGTAACCTGCCCTGTAACCTGCAAATGGCAGGAGTGCAAGGCCTTGTAGAGAGATCTGGGGTTTGCTGAGGGAGGAAGGCAATCCAGCGGCGAACCGGGGGGGGCTGCCTTGACAACCTATGGAGCCGGGGGTAGTCTAGGTGGCGAGAAGAGGTCAGCTATGGTTGACGTTGGTTAGGTTGGTATTGTCTCTGAGTTGCAATGTCCGGGTACAGGGAGGGCTAGGAGTTGTTCTAGAATTAGGAGGCCAGAATTGCTGATATAGCACAGTCTTCTATAATTTTTATATATACTAATCATCATCATCATTAGTATTATTATTTCACATTTCACATAGATTCAGCAAGAGTTCATCATCATCTTCATCATCTTCATCATCATCATCATCATCATCATCATCATCATATGAGGGATGCTGAGCCCGGTTCTCAGCAAGTTCGGTTTGGTCACTCCGGGTACACTGTGAGGACCCCGGCCTCAATCATCTTATTGGCAATATCAGCCTTGGGCAGCGGGCCCTTTAAAAAAAAAAAAAAAAAAAAAGGTAACTTCACTAGTTTGTCAAAGAGAAACTGAAGTCGAAACACAGCAAGGTCAGAACTTCGGGACTCAGGTCAACTCAAGGCAGACAAAAGGACGTTGAAAGCAGACACGAAGATTTATAAGATGAAAGAAGGGAGGGAAGGAAGGAGGTGAAAAAGACACAGGATAAGACCATAGTCATGGTGAATCCCGAACGCGACGTTATCATAAGATAAAACATGAAAGAGAATTCCGGACAGAACGTCTGGTTTGCGCACGACCCAATTCGAGAGCAAAACCTGGGAGACCTAAACAGCGATCAGAAGAACCCACTGTACCTTGATTCATACCCCAATCCTCAGCGAGTTTAGAATGGGTAGGTGAGAAACAGACTGGTTTATTCCAATTAATGAATGCTTTCAATTTCCGACATATTACAGCAATCTTTGAGGACAGAGTGTGGTTCAGTCTGAGAAAAGGTTGTGGTTTCACAAGCGACTGTAAGATTGGCTGCAATCGGGGCCCCCTTCCAGTGGAGGGAGGGACTTGTACAAGTTTCCGGTCAGGGGAATCTAGTATTTTTTTCTTTTGGGTGTGCCTGTGTTGGAACAAGTGGCCCACAACATGTGTATGCTTGTCGCTTTTCTACCGCTGGATGAGTGTGGGTGGATGTGCTCCTTCCCTGAAGAGCCTCCAGAGCATGACAGATTTAGTTTCATCCGTCATGCACATTGAGTTGCTACTAAAAACGAAAAAACTTCCAAGAGATCAAGCTAGATCATAGAGGGGTAGGATTGGAATTCACGGATGGGTGGCTGGGCCTTCATATATTGCCCGTGGGGGCACTCGTAGGAATATTGGTGGGTGGGCAAACTCAAGCGTACGTGAGGAGTAACTGTTCTGGTTTCATGAGAACTCTGCTCGAAGGCTTTCGCCCGCTTTTCAATGTTATGTTCTAAGGGGGATGGTGACTTTTTCTCTTTTGTGTTGTGTAAAATTGTGTTGATGACTTGCAGTATCTCTTGGTGTACAAGTACGGCCTTCTGGCAGGCGCTGGTGACATTGACGGTGTGTTTGGCCAGAAGACGAAGAATGCTGTGATTTCCTTTCAGTCTAGGAAAGGATTGACTCAGGATGGAATAGTTGGTGCCATAACCTGGGAAGCACTGGTCTCCTAGTCACGTGGGTGAGAGGAATTATCAGAGGAAGTGGCCTTAACTCGGTTTTGAATAGGGTTGTGTGGAGGAATCGACCAATCTTGTTCCGTCGTTCGCGGAGGCAGGTGGGGTAGTTGCTATGAGGAGGCAGCACCGAGAGACCAGTTTTGAATTTACTTTAGGGACAAGAAATCTCAGTGAAACTTACTAACGTGAAGAGGAAGAGGATTGATTGACTTGGCATGGGCGGTGCGATGGTACCCTGGCAGTAAATCCTTCGCAGTTGGGAAGCAATCAATGCTACAAACCTACCGCGGATCAATTTCTGTTGTGACGAATGCATGGGACCCTGGGCCCGTTTCCCAGCGAGTGTTACTCTGCACTTAAAGAACAGAGCCATCACGTGACGGCACGATCTCCATCTCTGAGGTCCTCTTACCCCTTTGTGATGGACTCATGCAACTCTATGTTTGTTTACAGAAAGAACTAAGCGTGAAAAAGGGTCCTCTCCAGGTATCTATTGATTGCACAATGTCACTTTTTCAGGGACAGGGGAACAGGCTTGTCTTGACAATACAAGCACCGCCTGTTCAAAACCGTCGGTGAGGATGTCTCACTTGTCTATGTTCCATGGGGATCTATCGTATTCGTGTGGATGTGGCATATCCATTCTCGCTATAAGCTTTTGCTTTTTCTTTCTTTCTTTTCCAATGATGTGCATGTGGCATATTCATTTTACGTATTTGTTTTTTAATTAAACCACCAGTACCTTTCCCCGCTTGAAAAACAAATGCCCTTTGGTTAACACAGAGGCGGGCGGGTTCGGCACTACCGGCGGGAAACGGCTGGTGGCTCCAGGCAAAAAGAGGCCTGCGCCGGCAGCGCCGCTTCGTCTTTTTTTGGGCGCGCAGGTCCAATTTTGAATCAGCACCGATAGCTGAGAATGGTACTGGCGGTTTAAACACCGGCCTTTGTTCGGGTTACTACCTTCTTCCCCCAAATACAGCGTACCTTCATCATAGCTGTATTTGAGGCATCTTTTTGCCTAGATACAGCCATAATGACCGTACGTTATATTGGGGGAAGAAGGTAGTGGTGGGGTACAAGAAACCTCCACTAGTATGAACCTGGTAGCAGGCAGCTCCAGTCTATTGGAAAATGGGTCCAGTGTCCCAGAGTGAACATTTGATCCTACGGGGGATGGCGAGCTGCTCATCGTGCCAGGAGTGGAAAATTGTGTATGAGGTGTTTCATGTGAAGGATCTGAGGCTAGGGGCTGGGCCCGAGTGTGTTTTACCGAACTCAGCGAACTGTTACAGGGAGAGAGTGAATAAGGTGAGGCTGCAACTGTGGATGACGGTAGATTGATGGGACTATCTGCGCATCGGAGCCATAGGATTGCAAGGGGGGAAACAGACAAGCCCTACGCTCAGTGCTTTGTTTTTTATGTGTGCTTTCCCCTTTTCCCGATTTTCTTTTTTTCCGTCGTGTTTGTTTACGCGCCATGAGCTGCTCGCCCCCTACACACACACGCGCCATCCTGCACCTATGGGCATGGCCACACCACTCTGGAATGTGAAAAAGACAAAAATGTGGCGGGTGCATCTGGCTATGTTCTAGCGGTAAGTTCATTCTCATTTTGCACATTTCGAGAGTGGTGTGGCGATACCCTATGTGCCCTTCCCAGAGCGATGCGGTCAGCAGTGACAGTGTCTCTCTCTCTCTCTCTCTCTCTCTCTCTCTCTCTCTCTCTCTCTCTCTCTCTCTCTCTCTCTCTCTTTTCTTTCTTTTTTGTCTGTGTCACACACACACACACACACAGAGAGAGAGAGAGAGAGAGAGAGAGAGAGAGAGAGAGAGAGAGAGAGAGAGAGAGAGAGAGGTCATCGTGTATCATGGCATCGCCACACCACTCGCGAAATATGCAAAATGAGAGTGAACTTCACGCTAGACCTGTCACATTTTTGTCTTTTTCAGATTTCGAGAGTGTTGTGTCGTGGCCGT